TGAGCCGGCGCAAATCTTTTGAAAGCGCCCTCCGTAGTCAGCTTTTCTATAGGGTCAGGTGACCTCCACTAGCGTCCACGGGTAGTTCAGGTGAGTCACCCGAGGGGTCAAGCCGACGTGTAACCTGCTGAGAGAACCCCTCTTCTTACCCCCTCTTCTTCAAAGATTTCCTCCATCATCCAACATCCCCCCAATGCATCAAAAGATGCCTCAAAACCGAAAACATTGTGGAGAGAACATTCTCCACTGGCAGCTATTATCAATACTATTTTGAACCTTTGAAAGTGGCAACATTCATTTCTAGATATAGCTCGAATTTTAGAGCTGCCTCGCTCCACTATATCCTCTATTGTCTATTGTGAATCTCATTGAATAGATCAAGGAAGTTTTAAAAAATGTCTTGAGAGGCCTTCTAAACTCTCTGATCATGATCAATGTCATCTTATTTTCTCTGTAGAGAAGAATGTCTTCCACTCTCTAATCAGCTTTCTCACACGCTCAAAATCTGGCTTTTATATTTGCCAAAATACAGCAAGACAGTATCTTCAAAAGAATGAATGATATGTCTTTAAATCTTGAAAGAAGCCTCATTTAAAGCCTATACACAAGAAAGTTTAAAGAGTTTTTGATATTCAACACAGAAATTGAGCTGATGAAGATTTCTGTTATGTGAGCTTCTCAGATGAAGCTATATTTGAGATTGGATTGAATATATCAAGCTGCTATATTCATTGTCCTGTTGGTAAAGATTATAAGAGTAGATATCTACTCTCTACCTTCAAATCTGAGTGTACCTCAGTGGGTGTATGGGGAGCAATAAGCTGGGATTTCATATCTAAGCTGATTGAATGAAATGGTCTGCACAAAGTCCTGATTTAAATCCTATAGAGAATCTATGGGTGATAATGAAGTTCTGCATTTCAAAGATACAACATTGAATACACTCCAAAGCTGAGATGAGAATAGAATTACAGATGATATGGGATTCTATTACACAACTTGAGATACAGCATCTAATCAGCTCCATCATCCCTGCCCCGAAGGTTAGCCACAGTTATTAAAGCCAGAGATGGATCAACCAAGTATTAGAGAAGAAAATGTATATAGATATTCTTTATTGATTTAGCTATATAAAACATGTATCTAATTCTATATTGGATACCTGTTTGAGATTTTATTTAATATTTTAGCTGAGATGGGAGCCTCTAGTACGCTGACTTATTGGACACCACTGTACATATCTCGCTAAGGGAGCAACTACTACTGTACATAGTAAAAGGGCTGCGGGGACCTGATAGCTAACACCTGTCCTAACGGCGCCGCCAAAGTTCTGCCGCCTGGGCCTAAGGTCGCTCCATATGGTATATCTACCAAACCAGGCCAGTTTGTATTCAGATATTCAACCCCCTATCAATTCATCCAAAGATTCCCTCATGGAATCTATATCATTATCCGAGCACTGGCATTGCTGGTATCACTTGCTCCGCACAATACGG